AGTCATTCTAAAATATACGTAAAAGCGCTGTTCATCAAGCCGAAGTTGTGGCATCAATATGGTATTCTCCAAATTTATTTCGTTCCAAGTTAATATCATGTACCCACTTCCTTCGTTTCCTAAACAAAATTGAAAATATTTGTTTTATGTACTTCGTTAAACTTAATACATACCCAACTATCAAATGGCGTTAAATAAACATAACTTACCGTGCATTTTGTTCCTCGTCTAAAGCAAGAAATAGAAGTGCCTCCTCTTCTTCTGAAGACGAGCTCATTGCAAAAGGCAAAACTAAAATGTACGCAACCTGTCGAAACCTTCACGTTCGCGGAGCGAATAAGACGCTTTGGTATGAATAAACAGGCGAAACAGATGGCGAATTTCGCTCTGAATTTCGTTGCGAATACTTTGCCGCTATTATTTCGCGCCGGTTTGTGGGATGCTTAAAGCGATATTTTGCAGCGATCACCATATGGAACTTAGATTGACGTTACTTTGCTTATTATGTTTCCCCGGGTGTTCCCTCATCAAGCCCTATGATTTGTACTCATGACTAATTGTACTTTTCTCATCAGGCCCGTTCATTTGATACCCATATTATGGGGGTGAATCGCCATTTCGTGGCAGTCGCATTATTAGATTTAGAATGACGTCACTTTGTTTTGTTTTCCTCATCAAGCCCTTCCATTTGATACCCCATGTCATAGTGGCCGCTATGGAAATGATAAATCGATGTTTTGTAGCAATCGTCATATTAAATCCAACATGGCAGCAGTCAATTTATTTGGCATTTTTATGCTGACGAAACGTGTATACGACATTTCAGCTCGAATTGGTTGTTTCGAGATTTGTCCTACACTAACTAACAAACAGGCTAAGTTAAATAAAATTTTGTAAAGAGAGCTGATCATCTAGCACGAAATTGTTTTTGATCAACCTACAAAAAAGTCTGAATTACCCTTTTTGGAGGCTGGTGGATAACAGGAGTAAATATTTGATGTTAGTGGACTAGGTAGATGTTTCAAGAAGAAGCACTTCATACTAACCTAAGAAATCCGAGGAGTCAGATGTTCCGATAAGAAGACAGAAGCAGCTCCCAAATGGATCTATAAGTTATAACGTACTATATATACTCTCTCCTACCTATGCAAGGCCTTTTCAATGCTGTACATACACTCCTGGACACCATGACATCAAACAGTAGATGCCTTAGTAATGTTTTCTATTATCAGATATGCAACATTTATAATCCCCTATATCCCACAGCCACCAGTTTCCTATTCTCTCATAACCATTTCCCGAAAAGAAGCAGGAATGTCTGAAACATTTAAAAATGAATTTTGAATTAGTTTGTTGTTGCCATTTTTTGCCCGTATATCTGCCGCGACTGGTTCGATTTTCAAAAAGGGATTTTTCCTCCTTGGCATCGAAATTACATGAAAATCCGAGCGACCCTTACTATTAGTTAGAGAGGTGATTATTGTCAGCCACCTCAAGGTTTATTTTGTGAACCTTGCTGTAGCCCATTTTATAAAAGAGATGTAATTAAAGAGACACAGTCCTCCGACTAGCGGACGGACAGGTAACATCCAAAAAAATAGCCAACTTTTCACGTAACACTGTCATGTCTACGAACACGTATAGCAAATAAATGGAATGAATCTAGTAAGTCAAACAGATACATAGAAATAGTCCATGGTCTCCACTCATTTGGCAAAATTGCGATCTAAAAATTTCAGCCCTGCCTTATTCAGATTTCGTTTGACCTCGAAACAGATATATCTATGGGTTGCTTGCGACATAGTTGACGTGACCGACAAGTTTTTTTTTGTCATGTAACATCTAAAATGCAATATCTCGTTCTCGAAATTTGTCGCGATTACAATACTTTCTCCGGAAGCAAAGACGATCAAGACCTTGATATTTTCGTGATGAGCAGAACAAAAACCACTAGCACAGCAAGTACGAATTGCAACGATAAAGTCAGAATCGCCTTCTTTGTCTAATCCGAGCAATTTTCATCGAATATGGAGCACTTGCTACAAGTACAAGTAATTACACTCGCACCGTGGTGCAAACATTAGCGTTGGAAAAAATCAATCTCAGACTAGTAATTTGGTTTTAGAAAGTGTTTCCATTATTGTTAATTAATTTACAATAAAGACAAAAAGACAAGACTCATATCTAAATTATAATTAGATAATTATTCTTTCGATTTTACATGGAATTATGTAATCCGCCGTTTGACCCGTATTTCTGTGCTAACAGGTTGGAGTACAAATACAGGGGCGGGTTGTTTTGTTTTTGTCACCGAAAGTAAATCAGTAGAAATGAGCCAGTATAGAATAAAGTAGGACGCTTAAAATCGGACACACCTAATTTCAATTTGTACTTTGGGTACTTTAAAATATAATACCAGACCAATTTCCTTATGTTAGCGGCACTAACTTTTTTGTTACAAGATTTCATTTAACTTAAGGTAAGTAAGGTCTAGGTAACTAGTTATTTGACACAAATAATGAAAAAAAAAGAAATAAAAAGGAAATTTTTAAAAACAAGCTGCTGCTAAAATGAACTAAAAATTCAAAAACACTTTATTTAATTGAATTTTACACGTCTTAACATTTGAACAATGATTAAGCTCCTTTGTCTCAGCTTTTCAAATAAAGGCCCGTAATACCCTTTTACCGTCTTGATGCTAAAACGTTGCACGCTTTTATTTGGAAACTTGAGATGACCGAGCTTCACTACTGTTTGAAGGTCTGGGAGTATAAAACGTAATGTTTACGGTCAAAAAAATATTTATGAACTTGTATTTAATTTTAATAGTTTTTTGATGTTAAGGATAAATACGCGGTTGGGTCCGACCCTGGTCCACAGACAGGAGTATGATTATTTCTGGTAACAATTAGGCGGATTACAGAACGAAGGCGCGAATTTATTAACTCTGAGCTCGTTAGGCCGTTGATGAAAATAATTAAAATTATGTGTATGTCCAGACAGCGGTGGATTGTTGTTAATATTCATGGTTGTGCATCGAAACGCTCCGTACACGCATACGTGCAAACTGGTGCAGAATCTTAATTAAGGATTTATATGGAAAACTGGTCGGATCGGAATGGCCGAATGTGTATCACGGTGGCAGCGGATCACCGGCATATCAGATGGATAGTCCAGTAACATGATAAGCCAAGAAATAGAAAGATTTTGTAAAAAGAAATCCTGCAATTTTTGCAACAATAACATTCTTCGATGGTTTCGTTGAATTATTGCTTCCTAGTGTTAACCTCAAATTTATAGAAAATCTCAAAAATATTTATTTTTATTTGAAAAAGTTATAGAAACAATTTTGTAAGGAGCTAAATTCTTTATCGTTTTGCTTTTATGAACAATTGTTGTGTAGTCAACAGATTACGAGAAATCTACGCGTAAGGGTACATGTGATAGTATTTCGGCTTAAAGGGAGAGGGTATAAATATGGGCTAGGCGGGGAATATGGGCTACGTTGATATTTCTGATGCACCTAGAGTCATCTATCGAGTAATGTATCAATTAGATGCTCTTTAGAGCACCTAACCGCCTGCTGATCACAGAATTCTTCTTTTCACATATGCAATTCAGTTTCGTGTGATTTGGTCTTTATCAGTGTTTATAAGTTTTGCAGTGGTGGTTATTTGTCGCTGTAACCAAGTAGGCTTTAGAATTTAACTGGATTTTTATAGCTTACAATTGAAAATAAGGTTCGTATTTTTAGATTTTGTTTATAATTTTACCCAGATATAAGATATAAAATATTTGTGGAGTTTCAAACTTTTTGGAGGTTATGTGCAATATGGGCTGGTATTACGTTTGTAATATGGGCTAGCCCATATTTGTAACAGTAGCAGAAATCATGAACCTTGTTTTAGAATGCCACGCAGAAAAGCTATTGTTAGTCCCAAGTTGAGCGCCAAGAAACGGAAGACATGGGATGTAGACCATATGAAAAGGGCTGTTCAAGCGGTAAGAGAAAAAACTATGGGTACTCTAAAGGCAGCTAAAACTTAAGACGTTCCAAGAACTACAGTGCAGTGATTGGCCAAAATGGACCATCTTAGCGTGGAGGAGGCTGTTCAGATCAAATTAGGGCGAGGTACAGTTTTGACTCCAGAATTGGAAGAATCATTAGTTCGCTATATTCTTGAAATGGAAGCCAAGTTCTATGGTTTAACCCGCAAAGACGTTAAACGTATGGCATTTTACTTAGCAAAAGAAAACGGCATAAGGCATCCTTTTGGGAATACACAAACAGCAGGAAGGGGCTGGTTAGATCTATTTTTGCAAAGACACAAAATTTTGTCGGTTAGAAAACCTACTGGGACATCATTAGCACGTGCCAAAGGGTTCAACAAAGAGAGTGTGGACAACTTCTTTACACTTTTGGAGAAAGCATATGAAGACCACAATTTCCCAGCTAATCGCGTCTTTAATGTAGATGAGACTGGTCTAACTGTTGTGCAAAATAAAGTGGCTGAAGTGGTTGGTCGTAAGGGCAAAAAACAAATTGCATCTTTAACATCATTAGATCTTTAATCACTTTGATTACCTGCATGAATGCAGGGGGAGACTTCGTTCCACCGGTGCTCATATTTCCTAGAAAAAATATGAATGTGCAATTAATGAAAGGCACTCCTCCAGGATCAATATCAGCAGTTCACCCAAGTGGATGGGTTCAGGCCTCATTATTCGCCCAGTGGTTCGAACATTTCATCAACACGGTAAAACCAACTGCATCTTCACCTGTTCTTCTAATTTTAGATGGACATTATAGTCATACCCGTAATTTAGAGGTTGTTATTATGGCGAGAGAAAATCATGTTTGCATAATCTCATTACCCCCTCATTCAACACATAAATTGCAACCTCTTGACAAAACTTTCATGGGTACATTAAAATCTTACTACAGCGAAGAGATTAGACAATGAATTCATCATAATCATCGTCCCTTAACCCAATATGATATGGGCGAACTTTTGGGAAGGGCTTATCTCAAAAGTCAGACTGGAGAAATCGCCGTAAAAGGATTCCGCGTTACTGGAATTTTTCCGATTAACAGGAATATTTTTTCCGAAGTGGACTTTCTTGCAGCCGAAATAGAAAAAGGAACAGAACACTGTACCGCTGAAAATGACTTCGATCAGAGCACACTGGGCACATCTCAATCAGATCTAGAGCCTCCTAGTCTAGACAACGTTCAACCCGGGCCAAGTGGTAAATTTCAATCTGATGTAGAGCTACTCAATCACGACAGCGTTCAGCCTGGGCCATCTGGGATCAAAAAAAAAATGGTGACTCCCTTCGATATTTCACCAGTTCCGATCTTAAAAAAAAAAACAAGTAATAGGGGTAGGAAAGCATCACAAGCAGCAGTAATTACTTCGTCCCCTTACAAAGATGAATTATTGTTGAGCACTGCCAATAAAAATAAACAAAAGATTAAATCTATTAAAAAAAAGGTGTTTTCTCAATCAACCAAAAAGAGATCGTCCATATCTTCGAAGGAGAATAAAAAGCAGCAATCTTTAGGAGAATCTGAAAGTGATGACGATGAAACAGAGCTGATGTTAGCAGATGATGACTTAGATTTGGATGATCTGCCTGGACAAAAGGAACCAGATGATTTAGATGCGGAATGCATCTTTTGTGAAAGTAAATTTTCCGAAGACCGCAAAGGAGAACTATGGGTTCAATGTTTAATGTGCAATATGTGGTGTCATGTCGATTGTGCAGGTGCTGATAAAGATGATTATGTTTGTGACTTTTGTCGCACTGGATAATATCTAATGTGTTCTTGCCAACTGCTTCTGTTTTTTCAAAATTTTGCTCTTGAATAAAGCTCTTAGTTACCATGTGTAGGTATTTTTTCTGGTAGCCCATATTTGTATCACTATCTCAATATCTTTTATGATGCCAATTTTATTTAAACATATAAAAAATCGAATAAGGTTTATGTAAAAAAAATAAAAACTGACAGCATCATGTTAGATTAGGTTCAGCTTATCCGAGAAAAAAAAAGTTGAGCCATATAGACCAAATATGTGTCAAATATGCCAATTAAATAAAATGGTAGCCCATATTTATACCCTCTCCTCTATAACTCAGAATATAAGAGTAAAAAACACCACGTTCCTGGAGATGAAAAATGTTCTGAAAAGAAGACCCTTAATACGTTTTTACAAAAAGAACTTCATGAGTCATTATCTATGTTCAAGAATACCACTTTCAAGTGAATCCCTTTTTTACTGCCAGGATAAGTATAGAAAATGTTATATTTTTGAATAATTTCTCATTCGTTCGTAATGTTCATTTCTATCGATCCCTCAATTGGGTATTTTGTCACCGCGTACCCGCAGCAATGATTGCAACGAGTTTATTTAAAAATTAGAAATTTCATAAACCAGCATTATCTTCTACGTAGTGACAAGGTCACAGAGAGACAGACGTGAGTGACTTGATCTTCACAATGAAAAGATCACAAATTATCAGAAATATTACATTTTCCATACCTCCAGGTGGTAGTAAAAAATGGACTCACTTTAGAATGGTATTATTGATCATAGAGATAATGTTGTATGCGGATAACGTACGTAGCATACGAATTATGTCGTCCGACTGTTTCGTGTTTTTGACTTGAAATAACCATAGTATCGTAAAAAAACACATAAAATTTTTATTCATAAACATACTTGACCACAGGACGCGGAAGCACACCACTGCGGGAGTAATAACAAGGTACTTGTAGAAACCGTCACGCATGTCGGTGAAACCGGAAAGCAGAAGCAGAATCGCGCATCGAAAGTATTTCTCCATCATTCAAAGTCTAAATGGCAAACAATGACTATACGTATAATGTGTGAAATATGTCTAACAGGTGCATAAAATTACCGCAGGAGCATATCAATATACTTACACCAAAAATTTTAAGCATACTCTCCCTCCTACAACCCCAACTTTTGACCCTTACCACATTTTTTTTTGGAACGGCAATAAAGGGCTGTGCTATTTCTATTTTTCGGCTTTATTCCGCCTGGCTCCGCTGCCACCGGACGGATATTCATAAATTGAAACCTCTTTCTTCCTTGGCATAGAGGTAAACCTGTGTGAAAATTTCATCCAAATTAGCGGACAGACAAACAGACCGATAGATCGAAGCAAATGAGTGCCATGGTTTCCGTGAGATATATCTCATATAACATCAAAAAACATAATATCTTAGTTTCGATTTCCTTGCGTTTACAATATTTCGTCGCCAATTGCATCCGAAAGAAGATTATAATATTCACTTGTCAAAGTATTCCTTTCCTAACCCCCAGTTAGTTTATGACTTTATCAACTCAAAAAGGTACAAAATATTCTTCTTTCACAGCACTATAATGCCGATGTTCATAAAAATAAGCTAATCAACGTAAAATAATACATTTGGTTGATTTGTGATAAGAATGTTTAACAACACAACACTTCTACGTTCCGTACACACGTTGATACTACTTAACCAAACCTATACAGCCAACCTTAAGTTATCAAAACGGAACCACATGTGGTTTAAGCTTTAAAATGTGCCAATGACGACTAAAAAAACGCTATCTGATTCTCGATGTGTATGAAAAAAATTACTCATAAAATTGCAACTGAAGAGGCAGATCAATGAAATTAGTCGTTCTATGTACTAGGTAATTACCGGACTGTAATTAGATCCGTAATGAAAGATAGGTCAGTTCTTCCGTACCAGAATATTTAGCAGCCATACCCAGATTCAGGACATTATTTACGGCGGTATAAACTCATCGTGTCGTATATCTTCTTAATTCTTCACTGGGTAGTAAACTGCTAATTTTTTGTTCTAGATTTTGCCGCTGCGCTTCCTGTCAGCATCCTTAGGTAATTGCCAATTCACTACAAAGTTACGTCAGAAAGACTCTTCCCGATATCCTCAATATCCAGATTGCTCAATTCCTTGCCCCTCTTTTCCGATTCTGAAAATATGCTACCAATTCAATTCAATTTGAAGTATGTATCTTATAGAAATTGTGTTACTGGTGATGCCTTTGGCTATTGAATAGCCATTCCTGTGAAGAAAAAGGATTCTGAAAAATGTTAGCCTCATCACTAAGACGGTACTAGAACAAAAAGAAATCAGAAAAGTTAGTGTTCGCTTCTGCTACTGTCTGCGCTAGCAGCATTAGGATCCCTTTTTGAATGCCGGAATACAGTATGTGGATGACAATCTTTTCACGCAGAACACGTTAATCAATGCTGATATACAGGGTGTTCCTTAATGATATGCAAATATTTAAGGGTGTGAATCCACATGAAAACTTAATGTTAGTTAGCTTTATAAACTATGGTCCAAAAATGTTTCCTCACAAAAACTCGGGGTGTTGAAGTTTTAGGGGAAAAAATGGAAATTAATATTTTCAGAACTGCTTCAGATATTTCACTGATATTTAGTACGAAGTTATTAACGTTGCATATTTTTCAATACAAAAACAACTTTTAGCTTTAACAGTGGCGTGCGTACGAGTATTGACTTCGATATGTTTTAAGAAAAAAATGGTACGCCAATGGTTTTTTGCCCAATAAAAATTATTTTTGAATTTCGCGTTCAATTTAAAACAAATGATCTCTTAAACCGTTTTCCTTTGATATGCCATTTTTGAGTAAAAAAATGAAAACCGTTCTATTGTCCGAGAACATTGAAGTGATAATTGAAGCATGCAATTCACCAATTCTAGTTTCTCTGAAATATGTCACTGGCTTTGGCATCTGACAAGTCTCTGTTCTTCAAATCTGTTCGCTGTGACATTTTTTTCATTATATAGTTTTTACAATCCTGTTAATAATGGTGAATTACTCAAATGCAGAAATGGCGGAAATGCATTACGTATATGGCTTTGCCGACAGCAATGGTGAGCAAGCCAGACGGATTTATTGCCAGAGATATCCCGATCGTGCTTTACTAGATAGTCGAACATCTGAACGTAGACCTCCAAGTGTGGGAACAGCTGATATTGAGGAAGCAGTGCTGCACGAAGTCGAAGAACATCCTGAAACGTATACCATGAAGATCGCTAGACACTTAAATATTTGCCATCAAATTGCTTGGAGAATTTTAGTGGACTTTTTGTTATATCCTCACCAGATTTTATGTACGGGCATTACTTCCCATTGATTTTCCAGGGTGTGTGACCTTTTATCAGTCGTATCTTCAAAAAATTACGCAAAGTCCGCAATTTGAATCAATGATCCTGTTCACGGACGAAGCTAATTTTTCTCGAAATGTCATTCAGAATTTCCACAATAATCATTTGTGGGCAGAATAAAATCCCTATGCCGTAACCGAAACCCTTTTCTAACACCAGTTTTCGGTTAATGTATGGGCAGGAATTATTGGCAACCACTTTATTGGCGCATTCTTCTTGCCGGGACGACTTGACGGACAGACTTGCCTCAATTTTCTTCAACAACAGTTGCATTTGCTGCTTGATGATGTTCCGTTAGTAATAAGAAACAACATGTGGTACATGCATGATGATGCACCAGCGCATTTCAGTGTAGCGGTTCGTAATTGTTTATAAATTGTTTATCCAAATCCTTGGATTAGCCGCGGTGGGCCCCAAGAATGGCCACCAAGGTCCCCAGACCCCAACAGTTTAGATTTATTTTTGTGGGGCTATCTTAAGACACTAGCGTACACAAGTCCCATTAACACTATAGAGGAATTAAGAGAAAGAATAGTCGCAGCTTGTGCCACTCCAGGAATATTTCAAGGAATGCGGAATTCCATGAAGAGGAGGGCGAGAGCATGCATACTAAGTGCAGGGGGCATTTTCAACAATTTTTGTAATCATTTCTTTATGTTTATGTTGTCAGTTGTTGTTGTTCATAGCCCCTAATGTGTTTAATTTTTCCAATTTAATTTATAATAATTTTGCAAGTTAGACAATAGAACGGTTTATATTGTTTTACTCAAAGAAGGCGATTTGTTTTAAATTGAACGAGGAATTAAAAAATAGTTTTTATTTGACAAAAACCCATTCACGTACCATTTTTTTCTTAAAAAACATCGAAGTCCATACCCGTACGCACGCCACTGTTAAAGCTAAAAACTGTTTTTTTATTGAAAAATATGCAGCTTTATCAACTTTCACTACGCACTAAATATCAGTGAAATATCTGAAGCGGTTCTGAAAATATTAATCAATTTCCATCTTTTTTTCCTAAAACTTCAACATCCCGAGTTTTTTTAAGGAAACATTTTTGAACCATAGTTTATAAAGCAAACTAACATTAATTTTTTATGTAGATTCACACCCTTAAATGTTCGCATATCATTAAGGAACACCCTGTATAAATAGTAAGAAAACAAAGGTATTGCTTCTGTATACATAAAAAATACTATCTTAGGAAAAGTGTGAAATACGAGGAGAATGATAGGGGACATACGATAAAACCTTTTTACAACATGTTATTATTGAGACATAAGACAGATGATTCTGGAATTTTGGATGCGTGGTTTGACGTCGCTGACTTGGCTGGCTGGATGATCTACCTTGATCAAAATCGACGTCACTCATTTGTCTTCGTCACGGATTTCTCTCATGACCTTATCCAGTTCTGTACACAGTGCTTCTCAAAGATTCCCCCCTCTTTTTTTGAACATATCAAGTTAGCGAGCTGAAATTGAAGGTGATGAAAGTGTCACATATACTTTAACGAAAAAAATGCATTTTAAAGTGGCGGCGTCATGTATTACGTTCTTAAATGGAAATAGGGGCCA